AGTATTTTGGTATAGAACTATACTGGCACAAAGAGCTGCTCCAATTACCTCAAGTAATAAAAAACTAGTGTGGAATAACATCAGAAATCCACAGGGGCTGTGTCTTTACCCATTTCTTCAGCTAGTAAACTACTATTACATATCCACACTTATGGTATCAACAATAGACAGACTTTGCTTGAACATCTTTGCTACTCAGGCATGCAGATTAATATTTTATACTCAAGTTCCACCTAAAAATATATCCTATTTCCAACTCTGGGACACACATGTGGGAGCTGAAAACAGTTCCACTGACTCCAGTTCTGCTCATCTGCTTTGAACCAGGGAAGAACTGCACAGTTCCTAAATTCCTCTATTTAAAAAGAGCAGAAAAGTGATGAGAACACAAGTGTTGAGATATGCTGTTATCACACATCATAAGTGATTCCTTTGCTGCTCTGAGCCTGCCTTGGTCCCACGTGCAGGGAGACATTTCAAACAATAAATCACCGAACAGCAGCATTCAGAGGGAAACACTCCCAGGCATTCCAGCCCTGCTCTGCAAGCCCACTTCTGTGTCTCCCTGGGTTTGCTGTGAAAACAAGACATGAAGAGGTCACAAAGGCTGCCTTTGTCTAGCGATTGTCAGAGGAAAGCTTTCAAGCACACTTGCTTTACCATTTATCTCAATTCCTGGCCAGCTGCAAACACCTGTTTACACAAAAGCTGTTAAATTGCTGATGCACTCCTGACTAGTTTAAACTGCTGGTTTTTCTGCATTTCACATTTCTGATTTAAAGAAATTTGCTCTGTAGCCCTCACATCCACAGCTCAGCAGCCAGTCTCAGCTTTACTGCATGCAGGGACATAAAACAAGATAATCAGACTGTTCAAGATGACAAAGAATATAATCTGAATATGAATTTTTTGCCAGCCAAAAGCAAACCCCTGATCACTGCAGACAGCCAATTAAATACCTTACTGAACACTTAAATTTTAAAAAAACCCTTAAAATATACATTACAAAGACAAAAGCTACAATACCACTATCAATGTAACACACCTTAAACTACCAATTAGCTTTCCCATACTAGAAAATTACAGCAGCTTCACTGGAAAAACTGACATTTCCATAGTTGAAAAGTATTTCTCTGTTGCTGAACCTTTTTCCAAAGCTGTATTTGAGCAGTTACTGATCACTGTATGGACATAATGCAGTGGGTTTGGCGCAGCTCATTGTCTTTGGTGTCAATATCTATGCCAATAATAAGCAACTTGAGACAACTAATATACATAGTTCTTATTTATGACATTGGAAATCCACTAATGTAGGCCCTGTAAATGCTTTTCAATATTATTAGAGTTGAAAGCAAAAATTGTCAGATGACTTAACAGAGTGATGTTGACAGCAACCTTTATGTCTACAAGATAGTTTGAAAGATAAATCACCTTTTTTCCACACGAGTGGCCTTAGCATTATAATTGGTCCATTTATTTCATAAGAACACCCATTTTACAAGTAATTGTGTATTTTAATCTGCATTCTTTTATCAACAATTCCTATATATTGCTGTATATTCTATTCAAAGAAAGCAATCTTACTGAACAATACTTACATCAGTTGTTTAATATTCATGCTTAAAAGATTCAGCACTTATAAAAACCTCAATTTTAATAAAACAGCCACACCTATCAGGTTTGATAGCTTTCCAATTCAAGAGAGTAAGATAAACTACTTTCTCATTGACTAAATCATTTCTAGTCCCAATTTGTTTGTGTTTGGACTTTGCAACTTAGAATGACAGTGCAACCTGTCCAGAACTAATTGCTATAAATATTCCAGATGTTGTAAAAATCTGGACTTATTCCTTTTAAGGGAAAATGAAGCAAATACCATAAGAATGCAGAACTGAATGATTTAATAGTGTAACCTTTATTTCCAGCATTATAGGTCAAATATATTTAGTAAAAATATGGACAATTGACTTCCCTTTTTTGTTAATATTTCAACCCTAACAGGACTAGGCTGGGCTACAAATTTCCAGATTTGCTCAAAGGGCACCAACTCATGGCTCAAAATGAAGCCAATGTGTACCTGAGCACTTTTTGCACACATGTGGGTGCCAGTATTAAGAGTCTCCTATTTTTGCTTCTTACTACAGCTAAGAGCACATTATTAAGTAATAAAAAATATTAATGCTCCACTCTCTTTAATATATCCCCTCACAGCAAACAAACTCATGTCAGAAATAAAATCTGAATTTACTCAACCACCAGCTGAAGCACCATGACCTCAAGTCAGAAATGACAGGAGCTGAGCATTGAACTAAATTTTGTTTTCCCATAAGATTTGTCAGATAAAACCCTCAAGAATCCATGAAAAGCAATATATGATAATCAGATATTTCTAATGAAGAGGCAAGTTTTACAAGGAATATTGCCATAACCTAGTATGATTTGCTGAATTTTATCTAAGTGCAGTGCACACACCATCTTGGCATATCACTAAATGCTGAGATATGAAAACTATGTTAATTGCCAGCTATGTTTTATGACTTTCTCTACTCATGTTTAAAGGTAATAAATGGCCAATTTCACAGGCATGAGCTATATAACATTAAACAGCTGGTGGAAATTCTGCTTTAGGTGAAATCATAATTAATTCAAGCCAACAGAATCAGTTTTGCTTCCCTTGTCTTCACTTATCACATGATTAATTACCAAACTTACAAATATTTATACTCAAACATTCCTCTACTAATGTTATGGGTGTAAAGCTGAGGATGAGAGCCAAAACCAGCAAAATTCCTGTTTACAGGATATTGTTGGCTCAAGTCAGACAACACAGCTACAGACACCTGCAGGCCATGGTTTATTTTTGAGATGGGTTTCTTTTATCATAAGCTATTAAATGCTTCCAAGCCCCAATCTGCTGCAGCTGTTACTTTTTGGAACATCCATATGTAAATTCAAAATATTTGCCAACCATTATCGTAGAATCTTTGCCTCAGTTGCCTTTCAGGGTCTCCAAACCCATACAACTGGCAAGACAAATATTCATTTAGCACTCAACCAGATGCTTTAAACCCAGCACATTTCTTTACAAAATTCAGGGAGTGTGTGTCCCCTTCAGGTATTTTGATGCAGATATAAAGCACCATATAACCTTCAACAGCCTTTTTCAAGTCCAAGGTTCCTTCAGAGCATAATATTAAAACTGTGTTTTTTCCACAGAGAGAAAATTGCTTATGAAAATAAAACAAAGAACTCTTCAAAGCTAAACACTCAGCTCATTATTACTGCAGGGACAGAAAGCAGTGTGGATATCTTTTTAAATGTATTCCTCCAGGATGCATGAAATACATCAGGTAATTTCAGAGCAAAACTGTCAGATCTATATAAGATCTCCACTGAGACAACAAATGAAAACAACAAACCAGATTTGTAACTGATACTGGCCTGCATCGAAATTTGGTCATTCAAATGATACCAACAAAGTCTTAATTTAAACAAATAGATCTAAGCTCACATTGTATACAAAACAAAGTTCAATGATGAGTGCCCATCATAAGCTTTTAGTGTTTCTAACTTAATTTTTGATACAAGCCACTTTTTTTTCCTGAGAATCTTAAAATCTACTCCATGCCTTTAATGAAAATATTTCTCTCTCAAACCACCAGTGAATTAGGGTCTTCTAATAAAAGACTTGGGGGGTAAAGGCTGATATCTTTGTTGTTGTCAGCAGAGAACTACAATAGTGCACTGATGAATGAAATGTTAATGACTGTAAGTAAAAGTTTTGAGTAAAATGTTACAGCCAAAGTATTGGTTTGCTCTTTTTTTCTTTTTGGATCAATTCCTCCAGCATTTCCCTCACTGTTACTTTATGAAATAATTATAGTCTTTAGCATTTCATTCTTCATAACTCTGCCTAAAATCTGAAATTACAAGATCAACACCACTTAGAGTGAATGAATTTCTTGAATTGCAATTGTGTTTTACAACTGGCATTGCCTGAAGGACAAGTTCAACAGGTAAAGCACCTTTTAATCAAGTGGTTTTCAGTGTGTTTATGTTTTAAGTGAGGAGAAAATGCCTTCACAAAACATGTGGTAATTTATTCAAGCTCTTTTCTGACAAACAGTACATAGCTATCAGACTGAAGGCATTTCTGTTACATAAGCTTGACAAAAATCACACAGTACCTCTGAGCTGCCAAATGCAGAGCAGTCAGTTACCAGACAGGGAGATTATTTGGGAAGATGGCATTATGGAAGGAGATCAAGTACTTAGATATCTTCTGGGAACAGCATCAATCTTATGCTAACTTTGCATTAAATTCACAAACATGATATCCTAATGGGTTTCCTAGGCAGGGAATTTGGGCAATGCTCTCAGGGATGCACAGGGTGGGATTTTGGGGGTGTCTGTGCAGGGCCAGGATGATCCTGGTGGATCCCTTCCAGTTTAGGATATTCTGTACTTGAGGACAAGGAAAAATGAAGTTTGAGATTCTGGGAAGTGAGCTTTACCTCTCATAAAAATATCCCCAAGCTCATGCTGTCCTGGGAAGGATTTACTCTGCCAGGGATTCACAAGATGGTGCTAAGGACAAGTAAATGCTTTGCTGTCAAGGGACAGGACCTGCAGTATAACAGACCTCAGACGCCAAAAAAACATTATAAGGGATTATTTAATTCAATTACTTTTCAGCATGAAAAACAAGCTTATAATTTGGGTGGTGTTTTTATATTTTATCCTAAAAATTACTTCACTCCAGCAGCGCTTCACTGCTTCAATGACTGATTACAGAAATCAACCTCTTCACAAGATGTACATGCAAAAATACTGCAGAGAAATCTGGCATTTTAAAAACTTATGAGTAATTTTACTTTTCAGCTGAAGCATAACACTAGGACAGCCATCAAAGGCTAAGAACATATGTTATTTGATGTCTTAGATGAATCATGCTATGCACTAGATATTCTGAAGTCTCATTTTTAAGAGGATCATCAGAGTGAAAGCTCTTAATACACTGCTTTAGTCTGTCAAGGTCTCTAATACCTCCAGCCAGACAGGCTGACATGCCTCAAGGTGGATCTTCCTTGTTCTCACACAGTCCAGCACACAGAGCATGGTAATGAGTGCATGGGAACCTGACAGCCATGAGGAGCCCCCTGCAAGCTGCTCCTCCAAAGCCTGATCATCTCAGGGCCCAGGCATGGCCATCACAGGTAAGGAGGTGCAGGAGGTCTGTTATAGATATACATTAAAATATTGGCTTTTAGCAAATATTAAAATGGATTCTATAAGTATGATGTTAAAGTAACTTTGATATAAAGACATAGTTTTTATTTCTGTTGTTCATTAAGCTTAATGAAATAACTGATATAACATGCTCTTGTTAAATGCCTGCTGGGATGGGATAACACCCAATGCACACAGAATGAGCACACCTGGACACATATGCCAGCCATCAGCACTCACCCTCTGAAGGCAGAATGTACCAAGGCCAAAAACTGGAGGGAATAAAAAAAGGACTAAAACCACAACCAAGGAATGTGCATGCTCTGAAAAGGCAGACCCAAGGAGGAGCCATGCTAAACAATTCTTGGAACATGTAAACTGCTTTGGGTAAAAGTTTACTATGCATAAGGATTTATGAATATGCAACAGGCTGATGTAAGGGAAAAGGTATTTAAGGGGTATCCCTGAAGATAACAGGGTGCTGTGGTATTCACATTTTCTGAAAAATCCCTTTGCCCAAGATTTTTCTCCTGGGAAGCTGAGAAGCCTCAGAGAAAAGGTCAACAATTCTGATCTCATTTGCTTCTCCTGTGTTGTGCTCATGTGCAATGTGTTTGGAGATTGTTTACCCACAGGTGATTGTTCCATTGCATTCTGCTGGGAGTTGTTTTCACTCTTTGGCCAATCAGGGCCAAGCTGTGTTGGGACTCTGGAGAGAGTCAGGAGTTTTCATTATTATCTTTTTAGCATTCTGTAAGTATCCTCTCTGTATTCTTTAGTATAGTTTAGTTTAGTATTTTTTAATATAATATAGTATAATAAAGTAATAAATTATCCTTCTGAGAACATGGAGTCAGATTCATCATTCCTTCCTTCCTCCAGGAACCCCACAAACACAATAGTGTGTTCCTGGCTGAGTGCCGAGATGCACCCATCTGTAATAACCTTTGCTCTGTGGTCCTTGTCTCCTATTGTCCTTTATTAAACTTGTTTAATTTCCACAGGAGAGTAACTGTGTTTATCACAAGGTCAGTGCCACAGCACAGGGCTTCTGGCAGCCCTCTCCAAGGTCACTCTGCAGAGCTGTGTCTGCCACATCTGCCTTTATCACTGCCTTTAAGCACAAATGTAATTACTGCCCAGCCTGGCCAGACTTCTACAGTCCCCTAACAGAAGCCACTAAATGGGGAATCACAAAATGCACCAATCCTTACACCTGCAAGCACACAGCATTTCTGTGCTGCTCTCTACAAATTAAAATATCACTGTTAGAATTACTGTAAAAGCAAGGAATAAACACTTGAGGCAAAGAGCACTCGAAATTGCACCTCCCTGAAACGAGTAATCCCTAACCCTCAGAATAAGAGTTTGCACACTGACAGTCTAACAGCATTATATTGGGTTTGTGTGGGAAGGCTTTGGTAGGTGGGGGGCTGCTTCTGTGAGAAGCTGCTGGAAGCTCCCCCAGGTCTGGCATAGCCAGTCCCAGGTGGCTCCAGAGGCTGGGTCCATCAGCAACAGCACCTCTGGTGCCATTAAAGGGGGAAAACCCTGCAGAATTGCAGCCAGGAGAGAGAAAGAACAAGGGAGGGAAACAGCTCTGCAGCCCCCCAGGGAAGGAGCTGCTCCAGGTGCTGGAGCTGAGGCTCCCCTGAGCCTGGGGTGCAGCCAGAGAGAGGCAGCTGAGACCCCCAGCCCTGGGGAACAGCAGGGAGCAGAAATCATCCCCTGCAGCCCTGGGCTCAGCATGGAGCAGAGATCATCCCCTGCAGAACAGCATGGATCAGAGATCATCCCCTGCAGCCCTGGGCTCCAGCATGGATCACAGATCCCCCTGCAGCCCCTGCAGCCCCCACACAGGAGCAAGGGGGTGCCTGCAGGAGGCTCTGGCCCCAGGAACCCCACACTGGAGCAGCTCCTGGCAGGACCTGCAGACTATGGAGAGAGAAGCCCACACAAGAGCAGGTTTGCTGGCAGGAGCTGTGGCCCTGGGTGAGCCATGCTGGAGCAGCCTGTTCCTGAAGGACCACACTCCATGGAGAAGGGTCCTGCAGCCCTCAGGAATGACTCACTCTGGAGGAGTTCATGGAGCACTGTCTGCTGCTGGGGCAGGGAAAGATCTCCTCTCCATGAGGAAAAAGGAACAGCAGAGATGGGATGAACTGACCAAAGTCCCCATTCCCTCTGTCCCTGCCCCAGGGACAAACAAGTGAGACACTGGGGGACTTCAGGTCCATCAGTGATCCAATAAAGAATTCCAATCACAACAAATTAGTTTTGACAAGGGAGGAGAGAGATGGAAGCAGCCACAGTGAGCAGAGAATAAGGACAGTGAAAGTACCAAAATAGCTGCAGTGAGGGATGAGCAGTGGGATCTTGGTGGGTAAGCGCATTGGACAATTGTTTCATGTGTGGTTCAGAGCAATGCAGATTTTTCCACTCCCAAGTATTCAATGAAAAAACGAATATTCTACAGGGCAAAGTCCTACACAGAAGCCCTTAGAAGCAAATGCAAACTCAAGAAGTGAGGGTATGGAAGGAGAGAACTTAGGTGGACAATTCCCATTTGTTTTATTGTTACTTGGATTACATTCCTGCACCACTTTCATTTAACATGCTCAAAAACTTTTGGTGAATAACATCCTTAGTGCTCACCTGTGTATCCAGCAGGACCTATTCTCTCAAAGATTTATGCTGGCTGTCAAATAAGAGTGGTCTGAAGGTCCTCATAAAATTCAAAAATATACAAACTAAAGTCTATTTCTTTTTAAAGGAACTGCAGCACATTTTTATTTTTATATCAAAGGGTTCCAGAGCAAAACACATTCCAAACAGGCAGCTACAGCAGCCACTTGCTAGGATTGTAATCAGCACTAAACCAATGTTTAACAACACCTGTACTTGCTGCCCCTGGGGCTATCAGTAAATAGCAACAGTGAAATGTGTCAGAACTAAACCAGGAGAGATTTCAAAACACATCTCAGAAGCAGAAACAAAACATAGATAGAAGTCCTCAGAAAGAACTTGAAGCTATTTTGTTCGAGGCACAGAAGTGCTCAAGATGAAGAGAGAAGCCTGTAAAGCTCTGGATGCAGAATCTCACTAATTGGTTGACAAGTGTCAAAACAGCACAGCAGAGGAACAGCACAGACACACTGCTTCAGCTCCACACGTGTGCCTGTGCTCAGTGACAGGAGGAGGCAGTCTGCAGTCACCATGGCCCTCTGCACATTTGAGACAAACTGCCAGACAGTGCTACCATCTAATGAAACCAGAAAAACACCCAGGTCAGAGGTTGTGTTTGGTCTCTCACTGCTAGCACAGCGAGGTCGTTATAAAAAGCAATATCAAAGCATTTATCTTGCTATTACTTACTTGGAAACTGTTTTCCCCAGTTCCATCCCTTTGAAGAAGTGTTCTGTTAATTTTCAGGCACTTGTAGTGCCAGATTAAACTCACTTCCAACCTCTTTCTTCCCTTATGACACTTCAGAGAAGAGTGGTTTTTCCCTTGTGAAAGTGGTGGCAGCCAGCAATCTGCTGCCATGCCTGATGGAGCACCAGAGTCCAGGGACCAGCAGTGTGAGGGTCCAGATCTGCTGGGACAAGGGACTCCATCCTCAGCAAAGTATGACCAAAAGGCTTCCAAACATTTGATTTAGAAGATAGTGAGAAGAACTTCACCATTTTTTCTTTAGTTATATGAATCCTACTCCTCTTAGGGGGTTAAATTCATACCATGCAAGTCTCACTTTTCATATTTCAAATAACATGATCCCAAGTTTGAGAAAACTGCACAGCTGAGTCTGCTCGAAGAAAATACAAACAACACAAAATAGAAATGGCATGCAAGGGCAATATGGTTAAGACATGGGAGCTCACAGCTTAAGTATCCAAAAGTTGCATCAAAATCTAGAAAACACTTAAGGGAATTGCACAAGGTGTGAAAAAACCAACATCCTTTATGTGTACTGACAATTATTTTAACTTTTACTTTGCATATTTTCAACTGTGAGAGGCTCTGCAGCAATAACAGAAATAAATGACAGTGACTGAAAGAAAGTTTTGTTTGTACCTCTGTTTCTTCCTATAAAAAGGACATCTCACTCCCTTTAATAGTGCATAAAAAGCAATTAACTTTGGAGTGCATGAACAAAGTGTTGGATTTGAAACATTGAAAAAAAAAAAGGTTTTCAGCCTGTGATGCTGGGATATGTTTTTCAGTAGTACCTATAAGGCTCATTAGAACCATTGATTAGGATGGTAAGATTTTCAAAAGGTGAAATAAAAAGAAAAAACATGCAGTCAACAGGTATAGCTTCTAAGTTTACATGTAGATTAGTGCAGGGAATAAAAAGTGTATTTAAATAAAAAATCATATTTAAAGATCTCATAAAAGAATATTTTGTTTTCCTTGTTAAAACCCAAAAATCTTGAATTATCCACCTGTCTTTCATTGTACAAAACAAGCCTACAAACATTTTACTGTAAAGAAAACTTTCTGGTGTTTCCAAGATCCTTTTGTGTCAGGGCTGCATCTTTCCCCATTTGTGCAGTGCAGCAATAACAGTGGTCACTGCTCCACTGCATCCAGAGAACAGATTTACAGTGTGTTGGCATTACATTGTGCAGGAGTACTCAAATTCCTGACTAATTTAATGTTTCCAACTGCCCAAACACAAACCTCAGAGGCTGCAGATTCCTCTTAAGGGTCATATTTGTAGAAATGCTACTCATTTGCAAAAATTTAAGAAGTTTATTAAAACTTTATCAAAAATACAACAGAAGACTGAATAGAGAAAATATTACAGCACCAGGAGCAGAGGATTTTTCCCACCATGTGCTCACCCACACAATGGAGGTTTTGCCTTTTAGCTCTTTGGCCCCTCCCAAATTTCTGTCCATGGACTCCTTCTCTCAGCATATACATAATATTTGCCCTTTAATTGTGAGAGTCAACCATTTCATTACTCATTTATCACACGTTG